TGGGAGGCTTCTTTTTCATGTCACTGAAGCAGCTATTTGACACTGAAGCCAGCTCTATTTCACATCTACTTCCATTCTGTATTTTATTCCAGAAAACTGTCTGAGACTAATGAATGGTACAAAGAAGAATTTAAAACCCCCTGTACAGAGGAACCTTAAACTATTTTAGAGATTTTTTAAAAAATCACACATATGACCACAATCACTAAAGATAAAATGAAAATAACATGTAAAAATAAAGAAAACATGATTTTTTAAAAAGTCATGCATACACATATACATACTTCTATATGGATGTAATTTTTTTTTCAATAAAAACAAATCTCATCCTAGCCTATATTAGTTAATTAATTATCAGTTTCTCACAGGAGACCCTGGCTCAATCATAAACACTTAAAATGGCTATGGCTGAAAGATTTTCTAAAAAAATGTGGAAAAGACCAAAAATGGGGCCTGAGTAGCTGATTTTATATTTGCTGTTTTTCATTGTGTTTCATTTGATTGTTTTTCTAAGAAACAGAAAACACTCAGCCTGTGAATGCCAGCTTTTTCACAGAAGGTGTAATCACATTCCACTTTCAATGACAAATAGTGACTGAGTTAAAAGACTGAAAGCTACCGAATCTCAAAGTGAAATCTCTCAGTCCTACGCAGCTCTACACAGCCAAACAGTTTCCCTGTAGAAATCCAACCAGAGAGTGCCCCCGGGAACAACCTTTTTATGTACGAGTAGACTTTAACAGCCAAGTAATTAAACACTGAAAGTAAGGGCTTATAATTAAAATGCTGACAAACCTGTACTGAGTGGCACAAGTAGGGCTGCTATAATATTTTTGCAATTCCTTTTTATACATAATGTATGATCCTTATGCTCGTTTCCTCTATGTTCTTTGCCTGTGAAATAATTTACATTAATAAATAATTTATTACCATAACTCCAAAAAGTAATTATGGGTTTCCATCCAATTTTTTAGCATATGAATTGTTTTGTTCTGCCCAATGACTTGTATTTATAAGACTTCTCCTAGTGGCTTTTAAAAAATGATTGGTATTGCCATTGCTTTCTTGAATTTTATGTGATTTCCAGGTCCTCTCCTTGCCTGAGCAATGAAGAAAATGAAATGTGTGGTGTCCACTCTCCCCACAACACAGAACTCATTCAATGGCTGCAATTAGCAGAGAGTGGTGAATGGAATTTACTCTCACCCCACTTGCCCACTTTCACTAAAAACAATTAAACTAGTCGATGTGTGCCGCACAGTCAGCATGGAGAATCATTTCCCACCACAAATGGCAGAGTATTCAGAAGTGCTGCGCACAGTGGTTCCCATGCAGGCCTCACCTCACCCCACACAAGAGGATCTATGTTCTGTACCCACTGGAAGCCAGTATCAGGAGCACGGGTCTGGCTCCCTGCCTGGCCAGCTGGCCATGGGTGGGCCATGCCCATGGAGCTACCACCTAACCCATGTTTCCAGTGTCAAGAGTACAGTACGACCTCAGGTCAATGGCTCTTCCCTGGAAAAGCTGTTTGCAAAGGAAATTCCACTCCATCGCAGAAGGTGATGATCTGGGAAGTGAGAAAGGAAACCAAGAAAGCAAACTTGGCCTCTGCCAGAAAGGGCCTTGCAGTGACAGAGTAAGCCTGGCACCTTAATAAAAGGCCCTTAGCCAGGCATAGAACAAGTGGGCAAGGCTGGGCTCCACTCTGCCGTTTCCCCATTCATTCCTCACCTGACTTTGTTTTCTCCCCCAATCTGGAAAAGTACAAAATCACTTCTTTGTATCAAGTTTCCAAATTGGAGTAGGGGCAAGGTTGAGGTGAGGACTGGTATCTACCTTGAAATCATAAAACAAGCACTTTGAAAACAAAACGAAAACTATCATCATGAGCACTTGCTTATATTAGTAAATTGTTTTATCTAAGATGGCAATAAGGAGGCCCAGCCATTTAGAAAGGCAGCATTCTAAGAAGCAGCAGCACATAAGACCCTGCTGTGCTCTTAGCCCTAATGCACTTCATGGAGTTTTCTTTTGAGCATTTATGAAACCCAGTTTCATAATGGTCTAACTAGATCCAGGTCTCACAGGAGAATTCCACTGATCGGGGCCAGCACTTGAGCCCTTTATCTCCAGAAGACAGACTGTGGGTTGGTGATTACAATAATTTGGCGCTTTATCTTTGCCCAGCATTGTCCAACCCTGGAAGGGCCCAAAACCCTCTTGAAAAGTCTAGCCAGCCCCTCAGGGTGTTGTCTTGCCCGCCAATGAAAAGCAGGCACACCCGACATGAAATCTCGCTGTCTAGGGTGCACTCCCAGTTTTCATAGCACAGGATGAGGCCACAAAACTTCAATTCATAGGTTAAATGGGCTAGAATGGTAACCTGCGCTTCCCTCAGCACACACTGGGCTTGGGAGGCCTTGGACGGCTGACCCTTCTGCCTCAGTAGGTGTCAGCAAAGGACAGAAAGGAAGGGACAGAGTGGGCACCTTTGGGGTACTGCTATCTCTTTGAATCCCCACAACATCTGCAATTAGCTAGAGAAAGAAACTGAGGCACAGCAGGATGGGGTAACTTGCTCATGGCTCTAAGGGCTCTTCTATCTCAGAAGATGGTCCACGCCATGGAGAATTCATTGTGTGTTGCTTTCTCCTCCACTTGAAAGAAATTTCCTTTGTGCAGGGTTCTGATTCAAGGGGGATGAGCAACAGACAGAAAAGGTGTGTCAGGAAGAGACACACAGTGGAGGACAGGGGCATGCCCAGACCCATCACCTGAACAGCTGTCCCTGCACCTCCTTTGACTGGGTGGCAGTATCTTGGTGCTGACCTGCAGGATGGGGCCTTGCAAAAGGGAAGAGGAAGGGTGAAGACCTGGATATCCTAAAGAACCACAAGAGACACACACCAGTACCTCCTGGAGGACCCAATCCTCCCTGACAGAAAGAGGCCTCCTCCAGTAGAAATCAGACTCCTGGGCTCTAGAGGATCTAAGACATCCTGGGCCACCTGAGCTTCAGCAGACCTGCCTCCTTCCCCAGACCTCTCTGCCTTGGACACTGGCCCCTGCAAGCATAGCTCCCATCTGTACTCCCTCTCCAAAGGAAGCCAAGGTGTTCCCCTTGTTTAGATGTGGAGGCTTCTTCTCAGGAAGCATTCCTCAGTTCAGGGCCCTCAGATGAGCAGACTTCAACTTAGGTCTCAGTCTTCCTTTTAACTACTACTTATGGAGTGCTCTCTCTGTGCTAAACTCATCATAAACATTATGTCACACAGTTCTCACAATAAACCTACAAGGTAAGTGCTAGCACAACTGCTGTTTTGCAGATGAGGAAACTGAGGCTCAGAACATTTTTAAAGTTCAGCACGATTATATGGCCCTAACACTGCCTGTCATAAACACATAAGGGTTTACCTTATTATGACTCAGGTGTAAAGGCCAGAGAAGCCGAATGCATGAACAGCCTTGGTCCCCACAACTCAGCCTAGTCTGGCTTTTGTTTCAAACTGAAGTCTGGTGAGGTGAGCGAAGTCTCTCTTTCCTGGCATGACGAATGGAGGCAGCTCGGGCATGAGGCTTTCCCAGGAAGCAGGCAATGCAGCAGGCTTCTTTACCATGTGCTAGGGTACAGAGGGTCTGAAAGCTGTTAACCACCAAGGAGATACTCGACTGTGTGGGGACAGGCTCAGAAGTGTGTCACACAGTAAACCAAGGCCAGGTGATCTCCCTGTTTCTATTTCCGCTTAGTGGCAGTATCAAAGAGGACTACCCAGCTCTCCCAGAGCTGTGGCATATGACTGAAAAGAAAACAATCTTCCTTCTCCTCTACCTGGTTCGATTCTGCCACTCAAGGGACCTTGGGGAGGATCACTTCACAGGGCCTCAGTTTCCTCCTAACTTCTTTGGCCCTGAAGCTACATACACAGTGCTCAATAGACCCTGCACACCTCCACTCATCACCACATCTACAGGAAAAGCCTTGAAAAAAGAAACAGAAATCACTGGACACAGAGGCAAGCGACTAAGAAAGAAGACAGGAATGAATCGATATGCCTTTCCGGAGACAGGGTGAATCTGAACACCCACTGTAGTTACCCCTCATCAAAGTGTGGTCTCTGACTCAACACAGACATTTCAGAAACTCATCTGGCAGGACATTCCAATGGAGCAGGAGAGTCATGGAGTGACTGCAGAAGGAGAAGCTGTACCCAATCACCCAGAGCATCAAGAAATCCACACAGTCAATGCAGTCATCTTTTTTTGCCCCCTGGAAGACATGGCAACTCAAATTTGCATGGAAACAGAAGGCTGAGTAAGGGATCTTTTCTGGGAGGCAAGTCAGCAGTATAAATCAAGAACATAAAAAGGTCCCTGGGAGCCATCCTAAGGAATAATCCAAAACACGAGACTCAGACACTTCCAGAGTCATTGTTAGGGACAACAGCAGCATTCGACAGCCCTTTTTGCCCAATAACCACTTTGATACATCTACACAACACAGTAATACAGACCATTAAAATGCATGGAATGAATAATTTTCATGCTGTGGTAACTACCAAATGAAAAAGCAAACAAATACAGTTTTATATAATTATATGTTCATCATGGACTCGGCTATGTCAAAAAAATTCCAAAAACAAACAAACATACAAGAAAATAACAACAGTAGCCAATGCTGGGAACTGGGGCTGAAAGACATTTTTACTTCATATACTAAGGTTTATTTTCTGAATAAAAAAAATCAATGTCAATTACTTTAATAATCAGAAAGAAAGACTCAATGCTAGGGTTAGAAACGGTATTTGTAAACCACACAACAGCGTCTGTCCCCTCACTCACCCCAGCAGCTCCCAGACCATGCCAGCAGCACTGGGGACTGAGATAATTGAAACACACATAAAAGAGTCCCCAGTGCCCTCTGGCACTTGAAAGTGCCTTCAGCATCTCACCTGGCTGGAACAACTAGAGGAGGACGGCCATGCCACGTGTTTACTCACCCATAATTCCACAAGAGAAAAGGGTAGGTCCTTGACTCATCTTCTTTGGCGTGTGCTGAAAACAACCAGAAAAGCTATTCACTCTTCATGTCATAAGAAGCACATCCATACATGACTCTGCACTGATCTCTTGCTAAAGTCACAATTACAGAGAGGACCGCCCTTTGCAGTAACTGTCCTTTTCAAGGGGAAGGAGAAAGGCAGTATATCCCAAGAGACAACATCTGCATGGGACTGGGCCCAGACTCTGTTCAAGTATCGAGTGAGACACGCAGCAAGTGAACAGACTTTTAAAACGGAAGCCCGTGACTTCTGACATTCGGTGATGTTGCCACATAGGTGATGCGGGGGAGGTGTGACAATGGTGAACAGTTGAACAAACTCCACCATCAGCTGGGAGCAGGCTGGGAGAGGTGGGACTTCCTGGGGGTGAGGAGCAGAGGGCCCACCCCACTCCCAGATCCCTCCCTTGGAAATAAGGCTGGCTCTTCCTTCTCTAGCAGGAAGCAATGGGCGGCTCAGAGAATGCTGGCTTGTGCTTCACAGCTGCTTTGTGGCTACAGGGAGGCCCCTCTGAACTGAAACAGAAACTCAATGCTTCCATTTAGCCTCAACTTTCGCACTGACTCCTGGGCACTGTCTTTCCACAAGTTTCCCCTTCCACTGTGAGCATTCTCCATCTTCCCTCACAGCTCATGCCTAGAATCAGCCTGACACTACGGCCACGGGGTAAAAACCAGGCCTAGAGGAGACCACGTGCCAGGCATTGTTCCATGGCCAGAGAGCAAACTGAGTGTGGAGGATGCTGGGGTTCCTCATGCTAGCTGACATCCAAGTCAATAGGTCCGTTCTGACTACCACTGTAGAGGAGACTCCTCATCAGGACCCCAGAACCAGCCACCTCAAGCATTCCAAAGACTGATTTGCTGGCCCCTTATTCATTTACCCACTCAGCACACAGGAATGGCAGTCATCTGTGTGCAGGCTGTGCTGGGACCATGCAAAGGGGAAGGAAGCTCTCAGTCCCAGACAGATCAGCCAGCTTTGGAGAGGAGCTCTCAATACCCTCCCCACTCCCAGTGACAAGGACACGCAAGGCTTATAAGCTGAGAAGCACACGGGAGCCAATCCTTGGCTCTGTAAGTCCTGGAAAGAGGGTGGGACTGACTAGGAACACCTGGCCCACAGAGATAAAAGGGTGGCAAGCACCTGGCACGAGTTCTCACCCCTCATCCCCATCTGCTCAAGCTGGAGAACTTTGTACTTGGTCAACAGTGCATTTATCCCACAGAGTTTTTAAAGGTCCATCCTAACCAACGCATGGTCACAGAGGTAAAGGAGGACTCACTCTTCGAAGAGATCAGTCACACAGACAAACCATTACACTACAGACAGAGAGAGAGAGAGTTGAAGCTGAAGGGAGCTCAGGGGTTATGCACTGGGATGGGGTAGGAGGTGAGGGCCAGCTTCCAGGGTGGGGTGGGGGGCTCCTGAGCTGGTGTTGAAGGACCAGAAGAAGCTGGATGGGGCAGTCCTTCTCCAGTCCCCCTCTTCAGTTTTTTCTTTTCTGGTTGGTTGGTTGGTTTGTTTTGAGAGAGATGGTCTTGTATGTCATTCAGGCTAGCCTTGACCTCATTATATAGCCCAGGCTAGCCTCAAACTAACAGAGATCCTCCTGCCTCAACTTCCTGAGTTCTAGGATTACAGATGTTCTAGGATTACCACCACATCCGGGTTTCCCTCCTCAGTTTAAAACAACACTTGCACTATTAGGCTAGGTTACCCTCTTGGATTCCAAAGATATAGCTAATCATCTACCCTACAGCCACCCATGCAGTATCTGGAAAAAGGTGAAGACAGCTGCATCTGCCTCCCTCACAGTTGACCCAGTTAACACCGCAGGATACACAGCTGAAAGCAACACCAAAGTCACCCACTGGGGACAAGATAACAAACACATGAGAGCCTGCCACTGGGACTATGCCACTCACATAGCCAAGTGCACAGCCTATAGACACCAGGCAAGGGTGCTCTCAGGAAAATGGTTCAGAGAGAGAAACTGGGTTTCTCCCCTGCCAGGTGTTGTGCCTACCAAGCAAATTCTCAGCACACAGGGTGCACCCAGGTACAAGGTAAAAAAATGCCCACTGGGAAACTACGGCCCAGGCCCTGGGCTGGTCAGATGGCTGACAGCCCCCTGGCTGGTAGCCCACCAAAGTCCAAACCATGACAGGGACCACTGAAAACAGAAGAGAACAGGAAAGCTGCTTTCCTGGTTGGCAGGTGCCATGGAAGGCTTTGGGCTTTACAGGCAGTATATAGCCAATTCCCGCCTTATTGGTGGAACAGGGGCCACAGCCTCAGCCCCACTGAGTTGGCATGTTCTAATAGGAAACACTTCAGGGCACTCGTGACCCAGGTCTGCCCAGGGAATGTGGCACGTGATTGGGCACCAGCTACCTTGCAAGGAATACAGAAGTATGTCAGCCTGGGTTATGACCTACTGCAGGATGCCCCCGGGCCAGCACCCAGGGCTCTCAAGTCCCCATTCACTCACTCACTTATTCACTCAACAAAGACTTTCAGCATTTGCTGCAGACCCCAGAGCAGCCCATCATTTCCCAGGTGTGGTGCACACTCTCACTACCCTACCACTATCCCTGTCCAAGCTGCCACCAAATGTACCACCCTGTTGGCGTCCTGGTGGGTGCCCTTAACCCATTCACCACCTTTCACCCAGAACTCAAAGTCATCTTTTTAAAGCAGAGATCAAACCACATCATCCCTCTCCAACTTCCCACAGCAACCAACACAAAATTCAGGGCACTCCCCTCCCTATCCCACACCCCTGTGTGAGCCAGGCTCCCTCACCTTCCTATGCTCATCCTCTTTTCACTCCTGCTGCTAGGTGCTGCTACCTTGGTTCCTTTGCACTAGGATCTCTAGGTGACAGGCTCTGTATTCTCCCTTCTACCATGTGGGCTCCTCAGTGGCCCTTCCTGACCATCCTGACCACATCACTACCCTCCACATGTGCTCTGTTTCACAAAACACAGTGAGGTCAATGTGCTTGTGTCTGTGCATATTCTCTGCTCTGAGAATGAAGCTTCCTAGGGAAAGGGGCAATCACCAGGGCAGGCACCATGGCTGGAGCTACCTATCAGAGCCAACCTATCCAGTTCCTCCTCCCACACATCCAGTGGACGTTTGGCCAGCAGAAGTGGATTTTCACTCAGCAGAACATGTTGCCTTCCCAAATTGCTGGGCACAGGGAAAGTCGGAACTCAGTGGGGAACTGGGAGAGGCAAGGCTGCCCCACTCAACCAGGCCTGCCTCCAACTGCCCACCCAAGGGTGCTAGAAGACCAGGGATGGTTTGCACTAAGATTGTTTAAAATCTAAACGGACACATTCTTCATTTTCACTGAAAGTGAGCCATCCTGTTCCTCTGAGTGTATAAAACTGCATGGCCCAGAAGTGCAGCTCCCCTTTTACTAACACCCTGACTTTGCCTTGGAATAACTCCCCTCCCTCACTGAACAGTGTCTTGGTGGTGCTGTTAATCAAGGTGCCTCCATCTCCCCTGGCACGGGCTGGGCAGGAAACTAGAGCTTTGTAGCCACAAAATGATTGCCTCATGTTCTGACTCCCAAAACAAGGAGGGCAGTGCCAGTTCACCTAAAAGGGACACCTCAGGCTGCCTGCCCTCATGCACCTCCTTCCGAAGTTTTCTCACGCCTGGACCCTGTCTCACCAACTCTTCTCTAGGCCCATCAGCTCTCCACCACGTGTCCTGGGAGTACTCTTTTGGTGTGAGTTAGCTAGAGATGGTTCCTGTCACGAATGAGGAACTCTCAGTGGTTTTATTCAAGACCTCACAGTAGGATCAGAGCCCCGTCTTGCAGTCTGAGCCCTGTCTGTGATGTAAAGCTGATGGCAGCCAGGCCAAAACATCTTATACCCAACAGCCTCCCAGGTATGAGACCCCAGATACACCCTGATGCCTGGCAGATTTCCCTGAGTCCCACCCTACACGGGCAAAGCAACAACCAGGTGTCCCCACTGGGCACCAGTTTGACCGTAGCCTTTCTATTCCCAGTCTGCCCAGAGTATAATAAAATTCCCGCTGGTGTGTGTCATTCCTTCAGCCAGCCTCTCCAACCCTTCAAACCCTCTGCACCCACACCAGGAGGAGAAACAAACTGCTGTGTGCTAAGGCCTACCAGCCCAAGGGAACTTTTAGCCCCTGAAGCTTCACAAGAGCCTGCTATCTGCACAGAAACAAACACACACCCAAAGTCTGGCTGAGGTTTGCAGTGCAGGAAGACAGAGAGCACATTTTCACTCTGTACCCCTCTTTCTTCAGGACCTCTGTTCCCAAGCCCACTCAGAACAGGGCCTCGTCTCTGTGAGATTCCTCACCTAACAAAAAGTTTTTGGAATCAGATCCTTGTAGGAGAGGCAAAAGCTGAAAATCCAACTGAGACTTCAGGGCCATCTGTCTGACTAAAGAAAAGAGGCCTGACTTAAATAGACACAATTAAGGTTCCAAATGAGGAACTAGCCTATGCAGAAAATGCCAGGCCTTAACCGTGGTTCTTTGCAACTTTCTTCTGCAGATCACTGACCAAAGCAATCAAGTCACTTTTTCCTTTTCCTGACGCAGGGTATGGGGAGCCACAGTGAAACAGGGAGGAGCTCACAGTCATGCACCACAGGGCACAAGCATACCACCCACATCTCTTAAACAACTAGTGAGAGACGGTGGCAGAAAGAGAAAGCAGAAAGGAGATCCAGGCCCAAGAGGAGAGGAGAAGGGAGCAGTGCTCTTGGGAGGAGGCTCTCAGAGACACTAATGGAGATCCCACAGCCCTGCTTCAAGGCTTCAGAGGTATGTAAGGGGTCCCTGGAGTATCTCTGCCTGTCCAGGGTGAGAGGCACAAGATTTCCTCAGACTCTATGCAGTACTAGTCCTAATTTCAAGCCAGCCTATGGCCAACCCAGGAGCCTGGCTGGGCTGCTGAGCCCAAAGTACAATTTGGCATCACCAGGAGAA